CATTTCTAAAATTTATTAAATACATTTACGAGTAATGAAAATTCTCATTTTTAAAATTTAGTAAACATATTTATGAAGATTAAAAATTCACATTTCTAAAATTTATTAAATACATTTACGAGTAATGAAAATTCTCATTTTTAAAATTTAGTAAACATATTTATGAAGATTAAAAATTCTCATTTCTAAAATTTATTAAATACATTTACGAGTAATGAAAATTCTCATTTTTAAAATTTAGTAAACATATTTATGAAGATTAAAAATTCTCATTTCTAAAATTTATTAAATATTTTCATGAGAATTTAAGATTCTCATTTTGAAAATTTGTTTAATATAGTTATCAGAATTTGAAACTCTTATTTCCAAGATTAATTGAATGTATTTATAGAAAATGAAAATTCTCAATTCCAAAATTTATTAAAAATACTTTTTACGACAACTTAAAATAAACTATTTACCAGATAAACAAACCAAGGCTCACATTTCTCAACTGCTTACAATATCATTAAATACTAAAATACAAGAAACAAATCGATTGCTTCCTTCTCGTCCTCAACATATTCATTTTGCGGTTTCATAATGGTTTCATAATTTCAATGGCGGTCGACTAATCCTATCTTCCAAAACAAACCTACACAAACTGAATTTTTTACCCCAAAATTCCATATTTCTTTTTACACATAGTAACATCTTCGTCAGCTTCTACTGCAAAATCCCCAAGCATTATCATAAAATTATACGTTCAAAGAACGTGGTACAATTTTCATTAGAGAAAAACTTCCACCAGAAGAAGTTAATATTCGACATAATGAATTCAAAGGAAATAATTCTCCTGCATAAAGCTAATCGCGTAAATACTCGAACCAGTAAATTTTTACGTTCAAACGAAATGTCAGAGTGAGTTTGGCGAATTACAGGAAGTATGCTTCACGCGATATCTACATTTCTCGAGTATCAACGATAATGATAGAGACTCGAGCTAAGAATTGCGCGGAAAATAAACTTCCTCCAGAAGATCGAAGAAAGCGTTTCGCAATAAAAGAAATAGAACCAATGGATCAATTTTGCAGTAAGTGTATCATAGAAAAGGAAACAACTGCTGAAAAACGGCGATTCTCCTAGAATAAAGCGCCAATTTGCATTATTCATTTTTGATTAAAACCGATAAAAATCTGATTACCGACAGAGCAAAATTGAAACTCTCGAGATACACAATAATTGCATAATAGCCAGTTTATTGAACTGCAGAAGAGAAATTATAGCGGATAAAACGCGGAACATTATGAAACGTTAATTCTACGAAGTAGATGCTTCTCTAATCGAATTTTAGTTTTTTTTCGCAAGTAGCCTGTGATTAATGCGGCAATTTGTCACAATTACTGAAACACGAATTCCGAGAAATTCGTTGTTTGCGTAAAAAATATCCGAGGCAATAATTATAGTTAGCACAGCAAACTCTGTTTCTTTAATCTTAAAACACGAATTTTCTGAAGTTTGCAAGAAGGATATAATTTGTTATTTTTATGTAATTTTACGTAAATAAAAGGGAATATAAATTTTGTGGTTCAGTGAAAATTGGTTATTTTACGATAAATTCGGTAGCGTGATTTTTGAATGTCTTTTTCGCTCGAAATAAATAGAGAAGAGATGCGAAGAGATAAATATGGATGCGATTCTTTATGTTTCGCGTTACACAACATCTGAAGACAGCGACTCTACACCGCAGAATTTTTCCAGCTTCTCGTGAAACAGTGTTTTAAATAATTCACAGTTTCCTCGGCCTATAAACGACA